ACCAGACGTGGTGGCGCATGCCTGTAGTCCCAGCTACTCGGGAGGCTGAGGCAGGAGAATCGCTTGAACTCAGGAGGCGGAGGTTGCAGTGAGCAAAGATCGCGCCATTGCACTGCAGCCTGGGCGACAAGAGTGAAACTCTGTCTCAAAAAAAAAAAAAGAACCAATTACCTAGAGGAGGGCCATATATAACTTGGTTTGCTTTGAAACTCGAGATTGCTTCCCCAGGATACAGAATTTAAGCTGAATGAAAAGCGGTAGAGCTGGATGATAATTTCTTTCTCTCAGTGAAGGTATAATAGTATCATACCTATAAGAAGATAAGCTGAAACGCAACCAAAATTTCCATGCCCCGCGCCCTGCCAGTAAGGGAGGACAGCAGAGGTTATGATTTCCAAGTAATTCTATGTATGTTCTTTTGGAACCAGGATCCTCTGAGTCAATTCCTTCCAATCTCCTAAGTTTATTTTTAAAAACCCGAACCTGGCCACCACTTTAAATGATGAGACTTAGGGACTGGTGTAACAGCTTGATTTTGGAAGTTTACTTTAAAAAAAAAATTTAATTATTCGATGAATACACAATATAATTCCATTTCGAGTGACTAAAACCTATTTGTTATATAGAACCAAACAAAACTACAAGAAAACATTTTTAAAACTTTTTTTTCAGGCTGAAGAAATTGTTTAATCCATTTTAAGGAAATCTCACATGATGTTCTGTCGGGATTAAAAATATACACAGAAAAAAATAAAACAAAAAAATATATATATACAGAAAGAAACTTGCACAGAGCCAGGTGTGCAGCAACGTCACACACTCATTCCTTTCTGTTTCCTCTGGATGCTCAAAATGTAAAAGCAAGTAAGATGGGGATGGTTAACCAAAACTTTTGGTCCAAGGAATAAAATTTCTTTAGAAAATTTAAAATGTCAAAACCCGCCAGAAGATAGCAGAACAGCCTATCATTATCAGGGGCTGGGAATGGCACCATGACAAGCCATTAATTTGGACTGACTTGAACAGCTGCTCTCAAAAAATCTGCATGATTCAGAGTTAACCCTAACCATCTGCAATCCCAACCAAAGTCATGTTTCATGCCGCTGTCCTAGTCTGGACAATCATTTGTCACTAATCGAACATAGTTATATACAGAATGTGCAGTCCCAGCAACACTGTAGATTATAGCAGGCGTTCTCTACCTGCACTCATGATTGGATTTCATTTCTAAAATACATCAGACCTTTCAAAGGTTGAAATACACAGATCTGCACTACCCAAGCCTCCTTGCCTGTAGGGGAAACAAATCGGAAGAACATTTATCAGGAACTGACACGTCAGGCCTCACAGGTGCTGGGCACGAATCACAGAGGCTTGCTCTGCATCACGTCTTCCATTAACCTGAAGCTTTGGGTTTATTGTGTTTAGCAAACCACTCGTCACTTTTATTTGCTGCCATTGCCTGTAAAATAGAAAGAGAATAAACATTGACTCCAAGTCTGAAAAACAAAAGATACCTTTATACCTCACTGTACTGACCATAATAAAAAAATTAACATTAAAAAAAAGACCCAACCCCCCACTCCAAAAAAAAAGAAAAGAGAAATAAAATTTTTTGTTAATATTTAAAGAGTATTAATCCAGTACAGAGTACTATGTTCAATGAGGCAAGAGATACTGGTGAGTAATGAGCCACTGTGGACCCTCACTCTGCAAAGTCAAGGGCAAAGCCTGTAGCCAGGAAGTGTGGCTGGAGGACCAACTAGACCAGGGACCCGCATGCCAGGCAGTAGGATCTCTGGTAAAAGAAAAAGTGCTGCCTCTCCACTCACAGCATCTGGGCAGACACTCGAGAATCTTTAGTATCACAAAACTCAGTCTGATAGTGAGGTCAAACATGAAACTCTTATGTGATGTTTTAGTAATGAAGCCTGGAATGATTCCTTTTTCATAAGTCTCCTCCCAGCCTACTCTTCTGATGCTGGTTCTGTTTAGTTTGGGCATCTCAATTAAAAAGGAAGCCTTGAGCCGTGCCCACTGGTCACACCTATAGTCACAGCCACTTGGAGGCTGAGGCCAGAGGATCACTTGAGTTCAGGAATTCGAGTTCAGCCTGGGTAACAGAGTGAGACCCTGTCTCATATATATACATAAAGACACAAATAAAAATACATAAATAAGTAGAAAGCCTTAACAATAATGTTTTGGTTCCACAAGCATCCCTTTAGTTGTTTAGCAAGAACAAACATTCATTTACTTAGTCAAAAAGAGCTAGGTACCATGCTGGGTTCAGGGGTGTCAGCAGAGACAGCTGGAAGCTTCGAGGAGTGTACAGAACAGCTGAGAACTCAGATATGGAAACAAGTATTTTGCATGACAGAGTGTGTGTACGCATGTGTGTGTCCTGAAGCATCTGCTATAATATCTACCTCAGCAGGAAGTCACAAGATGAGTGGGCAATTGAAAATGAAGAAACAAATATATTTATTATTTAGAAACAGTGAAGGTGAAAGTGGCTGTCCTAGGAAGTGTAACTCAGAGATGGACCGTTTCATTTCTAAAATATCTTAGTACTATCTGATTTATTATCTTGATGAAAGTAAGTATTTAAAAATCAAAGATACGCTTTAAAAAACCACAGTTCACAAATATGCACGTTTCTGTCTTTTAGGAGCCATAAAAAGTGGGAGGAAAGAACAACTAAATGATTTGGAGAACCTAAGAAAGCTTTTTTTTTTTTTTTTGAGACGGAGTTTCGGTCTTATCACCCAGGCTGGAGTGCAATGGTGCAATCTTGGCTCACTGCAACCTCCGCCTTCTGGGTTCAAGCGATTCTCCTGCCTCAGCCTCCCAAGTAGCTGGGATTACAGGCATACGCCACCATGCCTGGCTAATTTTTTGTATTTAGTAGAGACAGGATTTCACCATGTTGGTCAGGCTGGTCTGGGACCCCTGACCTCAGGTGAGCCACCCGCCTTGGTCCCCCAAAGTGCTGGGATTGCAGGCATGAGTCACCACACCCGGCCGAACCTAAGAAAGCTTTTAAGTATTGAAGGACAATTAAAAGAGGAGGGGGGAAAAAACCCTTTAGGTTGGATGCAAGAAGATGTATCTTAGCTAATGCAACAGTTCGGTGGGACTGGAATGGGGATGGGTTAGGGGACTTAGGGAGGGAGGCAGGACAGAAGGTCAGAGGGTAGAGAATGTCCAACTATGTCACATGCTCTGTCACAGAGTTTGAAATTTATCTCAGAGGCAAGAGAGAGCTATCAGATTAAACAGTTTTAAAAATGACTGGATATTTGCTTTGGGACAGACCGTAAGGTGACAATAAGGCCTTTCAAAGGGAAAGCTGAAAGGCAGAAGAAATTTCAGAGGTAGAATTCACAGCTCTTGGTGACTAACAGCTAAAATAATTTAAGGATGAGGAGAAATAATGTTCAAAAGTGACTGTCTGTAAATCTAAAACGTCTATTAAATGTTAAAAAACAAAACATAACAAAATAACACCAAAACCGGCTCCGAGGATTCCAGTGGGAACAAGCAGGATCACAGATACGCTGTCCTGTACAGGGAGGGAGCAGGGCAGCGAGGAAGAAAAAGGACTGACGGTAAAGCCTGAAAGGCATCCGTCCAGGCCCTGCCTGCTCCCACTCAGTGTGTGGTCCTCAGGGGTGAGGGGGAATGACTTCATCACCATCCAAGCCCTTACCTGCCACTTGGTGTATGGTATTCAAGGGTGAGGGCCAATGACTTAATCATGTTTAGTCTCGGTTTCCTCATCTGCAAAGGCTGATGCTATCAACCTTGCAGGTTATGGTATGAATCAGAGAATGTATATAAAGCACTTAAGGCTGGGTGTAATCCCAGCACTTTGGGAGGCAGGCGGGCAGATCACCTGAGGTCAAGAGTTCGAGACCAGCTTGGCCAACATGGTGAAACGCTCTCTCTACTAAAAATACAAAAACTAGCTGGACATGGTGGCGCACGCCTGTAATCCCAGCTACTTGGGAATCCCAGCTACTCTCCTGAGGCAGGAGAATCACTTGAACCCGGGAGGCGGAGGCTGCAGTGAGCTGAGATCACGCCACTGCACTCTAGCCTGGGCAACAGGTGAGACTCCATCTCAAAAAAAATAAATAAATAAAAACAAGGCACTTAAGAATGTATTGATATAGTAGCATTTATTTCTTTTTCTTTTTATTTATTTATATATTTTTACTATAAATAGAGAGTTTATCTGGGCCAACCTTGAAGACGGCAACCCAGGAACATAGATTGAGGTTTCCAGAATCTACACTCCCAAGTAGCCTTTATTTAATATTACTGGAAGAGGAACGGATTTGAGGTAAGATGAGTTATAGACACGCTGAGTTTGATACATGGTGGGTTTCCTAAGTGAAGAGCTTCTCGGGATGTAACGTTGGTCTGGACAGAAAAAGTACTACACATAAGAAAAAAAGTTCATAAGCTGGACTTCACCAAAATAAAAAATTCCTGGTCTTCAAAAACTCAATTAATGGCTGGGAAAAATACTTGCATTTGCAAGTGATGAAGGAACGATGAGAAACTACGGTACAGAGTGGAGGTACGAGTCACGTAAGGGTCGGCCATCCTCTCTTCGGTTGTGCATATTTGGAATTTTTCAAAGGAATGACTCTTCTTCATCGAGGTAAGAGTCACATAAGGATCTGTTGTACTCTCTTCGGTTCTGCATATTTGGAACTTTTCATCGTGAAATATTAAAAGTTATTTAAAAATGGACAAAAGACTTGAACATAAAATTCACAAAAAGAAGTAAATGGCTAATAAGCACATGAAAAGCTGCTCAACATCATTGAAATATCCCTGCAGTCATCAGGGAAATAAAAATTAAACCTTTGTGGGGCTGAGCTGGAAGGATCACTGGAGTCCAGCCTGGGCAACACAGCAAGAATCTGTCTCTACAGACATAAAAAACATTAGCTGGGCATAGTGGTGCACCTGTAGCCCTAGCTATGTGGGTGGCTGAGGCGGAAGGATCACTTGATTGCACCAATTAAACCATTTCACATGTGCTAGAACAGGTAAAAAAAAACCACAAAAAGCAAAATAAGTGTTGGTGAGAATGAAGAACAACTGGACCTATCATAGACAAACGATGGTCCTATTACTTTCAATGACTGTCTGACACTTTCTTATAAGGTAAAAGCAATTCTACTCCCAGATATTTACTCAAGAGAAATGAAACATTTATCTATCTACAACAAGATTTACACAAGAATGTTCATGGCAGTCTTCCTTAGATAAAAAATCTAGAAATAAACCGAATGTCCACCACTGGAAGAATGAATGAGCAAATTGTTATATTCATAAAATTGAGTATCCGTCAGCAATAAAAAAAAAAAAAACAAAAAAACCCAGAAAAAACGGCACCAAGCTGTGATATGCAGTTACACGGCAGAATCTCAAAACCACGTTGAGCAAAAGAAGCCAGGCACAAGAGAATACTGAATGATCCCATTTGTATGAAGTCCCAGAACAAGCTCACCTACAGTGACAGAAGTCAGAATAGCGGCTGATCTGGCAGATGAGGGTGCCAACTCACTGGAAGTGGGCATGAGGGAACTTCTTGGGAAAATGGTGTGTATTTTGAGCAATGGTTGTATGAGTAAACACAACTGTCAAAACACATTGAAATTCTACCTAAATTATGCCTCATCAACAACCACCACTTGTCTGAGCTCAGGAAGGAGTTAAAAACTAGAAGTGAGGAAGCTGGAGCAAGGATGATGGTTAAGTTCAGAGCAGGGGTAAGCAGAGTCGCAGGTAAGCCCTCACCAGAGTAGAGGAAGAATGCAGAATGGGAAAAACGGCACAGCAGGGCTATGGGTAAAAAACACTTTGGGATGAGACACAGAAAGAGGTGCCCGTGTCTGAGGAGAAACTGTCAGGGAGATGAAAACGGCAGGATGGCTGGGTGCGGTGGCTCACGCCTGTAATCCCAGTCCTTTGGGAGGCCGAGGCGGGCGGATCACCTGAGGTCAGGAGTTCAAGACCAGCCTGACCAACATTGGGAAACCCCATCTCTACTAAAAATACAAAAATTAACCAGATGTGGTGGTGCATGCCTGTAATCCCAGCTACCAGTTACTCAGGAGGCTGAGGCAGGAGAATTGCTTGAATCTGGGAGGCAGAGGTTGCTGTGAGCTGAGATCGCGTCACTGCACTCCACCCTGGGCGACAGAGCAAGACTCCGTCTCAAAAAAAAAGAACAAGAAAATGTCAGGATCGCCAGGGAGCAGGAGTTCATCAGTGCTATGGAAGAGTGAGCAGAGGCTGGGTGTGCTGGCTCACATCTGTAATCCCAGCACTTTGGGAGGCCAAGATGGATCAACCGATTGAGCCCAAGAAGTTCGAAACTAGCCTGGGCAACATGGTGAAACCCCATCTCTACAAAAAATACAAAAATTAGCTAGGCGTGGTGGCACACGCCTGTGGTTCCAGCTACTCGGGAGGCTGAGGTGGGAGGATCACTTGAGCGTAGGAGGCGGAGGCTGCAGTGAGCTGAGATCGTGCCACTGCACTACAGCCTGGGTGACAGAGACCCCGTTTTAAAAAAATAAAATGGGCCCAGGTGCGGTGGCTCACGCCTGTAATCCCAGCACTTTGGGAGGCCAAGGCAGGCGGATAGCCTGAGGTTAGGGGTTCGAGACCATCCTGGCCAACACGTTGAAGCCCCGTCTCTACTAAAAATACAAAAATTAGCCAGGTGTGGTGGCATGTGCCTGTAATCCCAGCTACTCGGGAGGCTGAGACAGGAGAATCGCTTGATCCCAGGATGTGGAGGTTGCAGTGAGCCAAGACTGTACCACTGCACTCCAGTCTAGGTGACAGAGCAAGAATCCATCTCAAAAAATAAAATAAAATGGGCCAGGTGCAGTGGCTCACACCTGTAATCCCAGCACTTTAGGAGGCTGAGGTGGGTGGATCACTTGAGGCTAGGAGTTTGAGACCAGCCTGGCCAACCTGGCAAAATCCCGTCTCTACTAATACAAAAATTAGCCAGCATGGTGGCGGGCGCCTGTAGTTCCAGCTCCTCGGGAGGCCGAGGCAGGAGTCTCGCTTGACCCTGGGAGGTGGAGGTTGCAGTGAGCCGAGACTGCACCATTGCATTCCAGCCTGGGTGACAGAGCTAGACTCCATCTCAAAAAATTTAATTAATTAATTAATTAAATTAAATAAAGAGCAAGGAGAAAGAGTCTGGCAAATTTGTCAGCTGAGAGGATGACTGAGATTCTATCTTCCTTCAGAATAAAATGTATAAAAACTATTTTCTATATATTTCCTGCTTTAACGTTAATTGTGCATCTACTATTATGTAATTTGCCAAGCTCTATAAACTATAACAAGCTGATGAGATAGACACTCTTATTTTCTGAAATTTTTGGATAAGAAGACTAAAGTTCAAAGAATTTAAGTGAACTGTTTAAGGTCAGTCACATAGTTACATGACCGAACCAAGAAAGACAGATCTGTTCCTTTAATCACTCAACAAAGTATTTGCAGAACGTCTAGTACACGCCAGGTATGTGCTAGGAGCCAGGATCCGAAAACTACTTTGAATGCTTCTGCATTACTGAGTTTGATGAGAATCTGAAAGTAGTTGCTATATTTGGCAAGAAACAAAAGCCCTTCACTGAGTAACGAGAGCCAGTGCGCAACAGACTGAAGTGAAAACGGGAGGCGAGAAAGAGAAACAGTGCGCACTCAGATTTTCAGAAGAAGAAATCTGGAGAGGACTTAAGAAAGGGAAACAGTGCGCACTCAGGTTTTCAGAAGAAGAATCTAGAGAGGAGATATTGAGTCAGTAAAAGGTTTCTAAGGGATGGGAGCTTTCAGCGCCTGTTTGCATGCTGGCGAGAATAACTCACTAGAAAAAAGAGACGGATGCTGCAGAATGGAGAAGAGATGATCAAAGGAGCTGCAGAGCTGAGGGGGATGGGATGGAGGCATCTCCATGCAGAGAGCAGAATAAGGACGGATCCAGCAGCACTGCTTCCAGGGCAGCCTGAGGTTGTGGCAAGGCACAAATGCTGAGTCTAGACGAGCGGTCTCCACAGGTGGCAGTGAAGACATCAGTCCTTGGCTCAGGTCAACCCAACAGCGAAAGGACGTGGTTCTGACAGTAAGAACCTGGACCCTGTTGCGTAAGCCCTCACACACACACTTAATGCCACCCCCTCAGGCCCATGGTGACACAAATGTGGAAATGACACTCACATCATCCAACAATTTGCTTCCCTCTGGATCCACCTTAGAAAGTTCTCGAAATGCTTCATCCCCAACAAAGCAAATTTCATGTCCGTCCTACACCAATAAAGAGAAGAGACACCTGCCAAAGACATCCTTGAAGAAACCCCTGGTCCAGCCTGCCCCCTGCCTGAGGAATACTTACAGGGTCGGCCAGAATGACCACCTGTACTGTTGCTTTCCCTGGGGTGTCCAGGCTCACCAGGGGAGTCAGAATCTTCTGGTTCTCCCTTTTCATCAAGTCTTCTAAGTCTGGCAACTTGAGGAAAACAAAGGGGCAACGTGAGCCAGGGGTCACACACTACTCAGGACACGGCCCTCGTCAGCCCTAGAGGAGTATCAGACACCAGAAAGAACCAAGGCGCCGTGTGTTTGAATTTACTATCTCAGCTGCTCTTCAAACAACTGCTGACCTTGATACTAAAGCCACAGTCAAAAGGACCTCGAGAAGGGAAGGGCAAGGTTCTTAGCTGGGTTGAACCAGCTAGTCGCAGAACTCAAACAATCTAGTATCAAGTGTTACCTCTTTCTGGGGGCAAGAGAAGGCAATTCTTCCAAAAGCTGCTGCGTGCTCCACCGCACCCTTGATGCCCTGGAGCTCCAGCTTACACTGAAATAGGAAAGGGGGTTATTTTTTGGAACAGGTTCTACGTTACATGTACGTGGTAGAAAAATTCAAACAGTATATACAAAAGGAATAAAGTAATAACTAAGGCTCTAGCCTACTCTCACCCCGGAGACAACTAGTAAGCAGTTTCTTGTGTATCCTTCTAGAAGCACTGCATGTGCACGCACCTATCTTTTTTTTACACAAATGGTAGCATAATTTACAAATTATTCTGTTCCTTGTTTTTCTCCACTTAATGTCACCATATCGATACATAAAGATTTGCCTCAATCTCTTTGCTAGCTACGTAGTAATCCATTCCACGAATGAACCATAAATTACTGAAGTATGTCTCTAATCTATAGGACACTGAAATTCTTACGTGTTGTGATTACAAACAATGCTGCAACAGACAACCTTGCACACACTTCTGTGTGCCTCTGTGTGCGGAGTACCTCTGTAAATAATTCCTAGGAGTAGAATTGCAGGGTCAAAGGGCAAGAACTACATCATGCTCAAATGCTGGGTTATTAGCAAAAGAAGATGAAAAAGATCTTGTATTAAATCCATTCAAAGGGCCGGGCGCGGTGGCTCACACCTGTAATCCCAGCACTTTGGGAGGCTGAGGAGGGCGAATCACGAGGTGAGGAGATCGAGACCATCCTGGCTAACACGGTGAAACCCCACCTCTACTAAAAATACAAAAAATTAGCCGGGCGTGGTGGTGGGCGCCTGTAGCCCCAGCTACTCGGGAGGCTGAGGCAGGAGAATGGCGTGAACCCGGGAGGCGGAGCTTGCAGTGAGCCGAGATCGCACTGGGCGACAGAGCGAGACTCCATCTCAAAAAAAAAAAAAAAAAAATCCATTCAATCTCTTTGATTAAGCAATTCCACTTCTGAAGAGATATATCCCCAAATATAAACAAGGTAATATCTGGGTGGTGAGGTTATCACTTATTTTCATTTTCTGCTTATCCATATAAATATTGAATCACTGTGAAGAAACTATGGGAACAACCTTCATGTTAACCTCATTCATATAGGTTAGAAGCCATTTATAAGCTTCATTTATAAGCCAAATTCAAAG